ACTGTTACTGAGTGAGCGATCTGGGATCTTCAGATATGTCTGCTGAGATAAAATGTGAATGATTTGCTGTTCCACGTGTTTAGTGAGGCGCTGTTTGTACAGAGCTATTGCATAAAGACAGCAGCACGGAAGCCAGCCCTCCTCCCTGCACATGTCATGTTTTAATGCAGACGAAATGACAAGTGGTCCTTTTACATTGGGTCATACTTTTGGAAAACCACCCATGATCCAATTCATTTGGGGACAATCAAATATTTTTCATTGTATGTTGTTGAGCTCTTCCAGAAGAACTACAAATAGCTCTGCTATAGCTAGAAATAGCTAGAATTTGTAACTGCATTAAAAAAAAAACAAACAGTTGTCTGCCAATAAAAAGCAAAATAAAACAGAAACTCCTCAAGTGAGGATCCACACATAGCATTATCAGCACAGAAAACACACTTCAGGTAAAGTAATTAAAACAAAAAGCACTACAGATTATAGCAAAACAACTTTAAATTTCTGTTGCAGGCACAGAACTCTGCTAGTCAAATTTATTATATAGGGGAAATGCTCTCAGTTCATGGAACCCATGATAGTGGTGTAATCTCATGAAGACTTATATGTCAATCTTCAAGAAGCACTCTGGCTCTCATAGTCACCAAAGTATTTCTATTTGGCTTCCTCAAATATTTATGTATAATTAAACCCTTCGGTGGTAAACAGAATCATGAAGCTTTTAAAGTTGCTGGTGTATCATCCCATATTTAGCATAATTGCTTGAGAAGACTGAGAAATTCCTGTGTCCTGAGCTACATTTTTCTGCTTCACTTTCATGTCTTTGCTTATAAAGTTGTAGCATTTAAGAACTTCATTTGCAAAATTATTTTTCTTTTTTTTTTTAATTAGCATAAAATAAGTGTAATTGACCAACCTATTTTCAGGGGCAAAAGATACAATGTAAAAGATTAAATAGAGGAATTAAAAGTGAACATTAACAAAGGAGATATTCAAAAACACTGTAGAAAGTAAATCAGCTCGTGTTTCTTATTCTGTCAAAAATAAGCAGAAGTCTGTCCTAGCAACTGTTTTCCTGAGGCAAACATTTCACTGTGCTTTATTGAGGAGGCCTCTGTGGGCTGTTGTCCCATGGTCAGATTCTTCTGAAGATCTGCACCCAGACATGTTTTTATTGACTGCTGGAAGAAGTCATTAAAGATTACAGTTTAAATTAATATGGGGAGTGAAGAATAACAAAGCCTAAAGTTAGAGGAAAAAATGCAGCACACAAGCCCAAATTAGTTAACCACTACACAGAGCAGTAGTTATCTCTCACCTGGTATTTTCTTGTAGAAAGGACACTGTTTATTCCTTGCTCCTTCATCTGGAGTAGATGATTCTCTAAATCTTTTTCTCCACTTCCTTTGGCCACCAGAAGTTACATCTGCAAAGCCTCCATCCTTATTTGAACTTTCTTTAACTGCTTCTAGATCCTCCACAGATCCTTCAGCTTTTCTTTTTTGCTGTCTGGGCTGCTTTCCACTGGGAGCTACTGAACTGAGTATCTGCTTTCCCACACTCAAACACGCCTCTCCTTTGCTTTCCTCTTTTACTTTAGGTTTTAACCCAAAGAAAACACCAATGTCCATTTGTTTGAGTCCTTTGGCAGGACTGGATTTGGCCTTCGTACTTGCTAAGGAACGAGATGAGACCGTTTTAGAGATGGGGCTGGGAAAGCACACACCAGTTGAATCGAGGTTTTCTTCTTTCTTCACCGCTGGCTGCAAACTCTCTTGGCAAGCTCCTTTTTCAATGGCATCAGCAGTCATTTTATCCGTATCAGTTAAAACAACACTTGGGCCTCTCAAAACCTTATTTTTTTGAGACAAAGGAGATCCAGCACCTTCTGTAAGCAGCTCTGGTTGTGTATGAATAAGACCTGAATACCCAGAATCCAAAGCACGAGCACCCTTGTCTTGTGACTCTTTATTACCTGTGTTAACTGCAGGGGAAATCAATCCTGGCTGTTGAAACTCCTCATTGCAATTAAGAGGAAAAGAGGATTCTGCTGATAGCATCACTTGCTGATTATCTACACATGGTGAATTACAGCATTTGCTGTCTACATAACTCTGAGAAGCACTTTTTCCACTATGATACAAACAGCTTGATGTATTTATTTCCTTTTTAAATTTAAGAACTTCAGCATCAGATTCATCACCTTCAAGATTCTGGACTTTGAGTAGTTTATTCTGTGATGTTTTTACTTCTGTCTCTTCCTCAACTTCACCCTCACTTTCCTCACAAGTACTCAGTGGAGAATATGAAATTTCCCAGTCACTGAAATCAGCTTTTGACTGTAGTAGGCTTGGCTGACTCGTATCTTTTTGACTACAAAGGTCTTCTCCCGGAACACTTTCTTGTGAAGGTGTAAAGTCATAAAATTCAAATTTACAGCTGTTATCTGTGGTTTGTGTGAGCTGAAATACTTGTTGAGGCTTTTGAACATCTGCAAAAGAGGAAGTGCTTTCACTGGTTATATTTAGAGAGTTCCTTTGTGCCGAATCCTCTATCTTTGATGTACACTCATTATTTGGGACATTTTTTAAGTTCTTAGATGTTTTCTCAGTCTGCGAGACTTCTACATGACTTGGAAAACAGCTGGACTTTGCAGTAGTAGAACATGTCATCTTCCTCTCCAAAGTGTTTGCTGTAGAGTTCACAAGATATTCTCCTGCTCTGCTTGCTGCAAGTAGAAAATGGCTATAGCGCTTGTAGTGGGATGGAATGGTAGATGTGCACAGTAAACCATCAGGACACTCTATGGAAAAGCAGTTCAACCAAAAAGTAACATTAATATCTTTGTAAATGTAGTTTGCATAATTATTACATCAAATAAAAATCTCATATGGCATACAGTTCTAAAGATTTTCTTATAAATGTAGTTATTGGAGGACAGAAGGCACAAGTACAAAGTAATGTCAGGCTGCCACATCTCCTGCCCCAAGCTGGTGCAAAATGAAAGGTTTTAGGTTTTCCAACCTGATATTAGCACAGCTCTGAGCCTGCATTAGTTCACCTTTCTAGCAAGATGAATATGTTACTCTGTTTCAGTACTGTACTTACTAATGTGCTACGTGGCTTCTAGTTTAGAATTGTCCCATGTACAAGGAAGGCTCAGATCAAAAGTGCCCTGAAAGGCTACGTGTTTCAAAACAAACCAAACCTAGGTTCTGAATCTACTTGAAATTCCATTTAAAATTGTCTGCTAGGTGACATTTTAAAAAGTAGTCAGGTATCTGCTTATGTAAGTACTGTAAAAAGGACTCAGGGTTCAGAAGCCAACAAAAGATCTGTCGCTGTTCCCTGAACACTTTTTGTTGACAGTTTGCTAACCTAACTTTTGAGAATTTTGACGGATGCAAATCAATTAGGACTTTTTTCCCCATTAATTATAGGAAGAAGAGATGGAAATGAAGTATAGAACATCTGCTTAAGGTAATACCACCATCAAAATTAGGATTAAAGGCTCAATTTTAATTGTTCTGAAGAAGAAACTTCAACAAAAGTAAAACAGATATGAAGAAATTCTGAATCAAAAGCTGCAAATCCTTAAATGAAGGATATTTCCCATTATTTTACAATGGTAAATATGTACCCTCGATTTCTTCCTTAATACAATGGAAGTAAAACTTGTTAAACAATCATGAATCTTTGTTAATGCTCCACATTTTTTGAGATTTTCATAGCAGATTTCCACATTCTTCACAAAGAACTGAAAATTCGATACGAGAACATTTTAACTACATGTGAAAACCAGAGCTTACAGCAGTTATCTGTTTAACATATTTTGCTGAAGACTTCTTCCTACCTTTTTCAACAGATCCTGGAGTATCCAAACATTCAGCAACATGCCAGCGAGGCGTCTGCACCAGCAGCAAGGAGAAGGGCATCTGACAGCTTGGGCAATATCCATCACAAACCAGCCTTGTGCTTGGTGAGCCCTGTTCTGTCAAGCTGCTCAGGCTTTCCTGAGTGTGCACACTGTTGTCATCTTTAGACGGATCCAGGTCCTCGCTTGGCCTCAATCTCTGCCCGCTTTTCTGAGGAGTACTACTTTTATCCACAGATTTCTTTTTGTTTCCATTTCCCTTTCTTTTTGGCCTGCATTTGCCTTTGGTTACTGTCTGCATGGACACAGAGGTACTGTTTGAGTTACTCTGTGGCTTTCGCTTCCTAATTGATTTGTATTCCCAAATGTCCTCTTCCAATAAAGCATCTTCAGACATGGCAACATACGAAATACTGTCCTTGCACTTAAGCAGCAGTTCACAAATCTAACTTTCCTACCATTGATAAGTTTTGTCTTCCAGCAGTGAACGGGAGATGGAAGAAAAGCAACCGAGCCCCATTCTACAAAAGCATCACTGTGCCCCAAACCAAACGGCAGCCCCTGATGGGACAGGAGCATGGTGGATCCGATCCTGAAAATAATTTAACAAGCGTCTCTTTGAGTATCTGCAACAGCTGTTAAACAAGAGCAGAATCTGTCAGGTACAGAAGGAATGGCTGACAGAGCCATTTCCTTCAGCCCTCCCCTCCGACCCCCAGCCCGGCCTGGGGTGCTGCTCTTCCCGCACCCCTGACCGCCCCCGAGAAGGATTTAAAAGAAAAAGTGACTTCAGCTCCGAGATCGCTGCCACGAGCCGCCACACAGTGAAGATCGAGGTGAGCACACCGCTCCGCTCCCACCGCCGAGCAGCCGCCTCGCTTCAAGCGCGCGCCGCCGGCCGGCCCTCACAGCCCCGTCGGCGTCCGCAGTTTCGTCACCTCCTCTATCATTACATCTCCTTCCGCTCCGAAAATTAAAAAAAAAAAAAAAACACAACAAACCTCAATCTTTGGTTCCGATACATCCCAGTTGTGACATATTTTACGCTTAAGAATAATTAAAAAAAAAAAAGCGTAATAAGCGGGGAAAAAAAAATAAGGCGGTGGTGCTGAATCTGCTGGATAGGAATCACCGCTCGGGGTTTGGCGCGCAGTTTCCCTCACGAATCTGCTTCTGCGAATTGCAAAAGCCGGGTCAAAAATGAGAAATGAATTTAAAAGCCCCTCCCTTTAGGAAAGACGAATCTCTGTGTGTTTGCATTTAGCGTTTTCATTGCTTGTTTTGCTTTGTTTTGATTACAGCTTTTCTATTCCAGGCCGAATGTGCGGCGGCGAAGCGGCAGGCCAGTAAACAGCGGCGGGCTCGGCCTGGAGGCGCCATGGCGGCGGAGGGCCTGGCGGGGCTCCTGCCCGCACAGACGCAGCTGGAGTACGCGCTGCTCGACGCCGACACCGCTCAGGAGAAGGAGAACCTGGTCTACCAGTACCTGAAGAAGATGGACGGCCGGGAGCGGGACCTGACAGTGCCCGAGCTCGGCGGAGGTGGGTGGAGGGGCCCGGCTGCGCCGCGGAACCACCGCCCCGTCGGCTGGTGTAGAAAAAGGCATTTTTGCTGGGCAGCGGGCTCGTGAAGGCACGGGAGCGAAGGAGAAAAGAACCTCTTTACGAGTGTGCCTCTTGCTACCCCTTGTAAAAACCCCTTCTTTAAAGCCTCGTTCTTAAACTTCCTATGCTTTGTTAACTTTTTTTTTTTTTTTTCCCCAAATAGGCGCTTTCGTTTTTTGCAGGGAGCTTTCTTCTGGTTCCTTTGGTTTTGCTGCAGCTCTTGCCCTTCCACTTCAGGCCTTTCTGAGCTCTTTCACCCCATGACCAATTTATGCTTGCTGATTTTCATGTTCCTGATAAAGTGTTTCGTGCTGGAGATGCCGTCCTGGTTCAGTGGTGCTCCTTTTTCCACTTCCCATATTCCTGTAACTTTTGTGCAAAGCATTCATCCTGCAATTCTTGCTCTTGTGGGTGCTTGTGGCCTCAGAGATGCTTGCTGGGGCTGTGAGAAATGAAGGATTGCAAGACAGAGACCCAAACAGATAAAATACAGGATTAACGTTATAGCATAGGAGTGAATTCTGACTTCTAACCATTGTGAATGCTTTCAGTGTCTGGATTTGGCCTCCTGAATTGAATCTTCACTGTCATTACCATTGTTTTGCTTTCTGTATTTTGTCAAAGCTTCTGTTCTTTTCTGGAGATGAGATCAAATAAGTAGCCAACTCTTTTTAATTCCAGTATGCTTTAAAGGAAGATATTTTAATTCTAGTGAAAAGTGGAGCGATGCCATTAAAGCAATCTGGTCTTCTTTCAAGAAGCAAAATGTAAAGCTTCACTCTTGTATTGCAGAAATACATGAACTGAAATTAATTGTCTCCAAGTCTGAATGTGCATACATTCATGTTGTATATATGAATATACATCAATATGTACTTTGTGTATAGAGGGAGGCCAAACTTCCTCATAGCAAAGCAGAAAACAAATCTGCTGACTCAGGTAGCAATAACTTCTGGAGCACTGAGCTTGCTGAAACTGATGGGGTGAAGGTTAAGATTATTCTGAGTACATTTCTGCTCTCCAAAAAATAGTCCTTTAAGAGCTGAGTTTGACTTCACAATGTATCACATCTGTTTTTTCCCCTTTTTTTCCCCCCAAAACTGTTGAGTGGCAAACGGTTATCTAGGACATTCAGATCTCAATGCCAGGATCAGAATAATATCAGTCACCAGTCAGAAAGCATTGCCTTCACGTTTCAAATCAAGTAATAAGAATGAGTGTCCAAGTATACTTCCACCTCCATCTGAAAGGGTTATAGTTCTGTCACCTGGGAAGTAATATTTCATGTCTGTCATTTTAGGTTGTTTAAAATGAAGGCCAAAACTAAAAAGGGAAAAATATTGAAGTCATCTCTGAAAATGTCATTTACAAAAATGTTGTAAAATGAAGAGTTTGAGTTCTATTCCATTTGCATTTATGAGTTTTTAAAGTCGTTATTAACACCTATGATGTTGTTAGGTGTTGAGTAATACAGGTTCTTTTAAAATATATGGAAATTGTTCTTCAGCTTGCATCTTCTGGCAATTAAAAGGTACCTTTTAACTATATAAGTTGTACTTTCAATGTTACATTAAATTCATTTAGTAATTTTGAATATTTGTGTAATATGAGGGTGAGTTTGATAAACATAAGACTTCTGTTTTGCTTTTCTACTTGGTAGAAAGAGATGGGGTTGTTTGCCTTAAGTGAAATGCCCTAGAAATGTTGTGTTAGCACACCAGTTAGGTACAAGTGTCTTCCTTTCCCTGCCCTTCCTCTAAGTGTTCCTCTGTTCTCTGTGCAGATCTACAGTGGTTAAACACTGAAGGTCCCATTTCTCTTCACAAAGACCTTCGTGGAAAAGTTGTGGTGTTGGATTTCTTCACTTACTGCTGCATCAATTGCTTGCACCTGCTGCCTGATCTCCATGAATTAGAGCACCAGTACTCTGATAAAGGTAAAAGAGCTTTGGCTTGCACAGAATAGAATTTCCTGGCAGCATTGCAGGTGGAGTAGCTGAGTCACTTCAGTTACTAAACAGCTGGCAGCATTTCAGGGATGCCTAAAAATGTCTCCTAATCTTTTAAGTATCCTGACAAAGGTTACTGGCTGTGCTCTCATCACATTTTTAGGTGGGGTTAAATATGGGGTTTCTTTAACTATACAGGCACAAAAGACATGATGTGTGTCTAAAGCCTGAATCTGATATCCTCATAGGACTGTTTGCAAAACGCATGGATGTAAGTTACAGGCACAAAGTTGCTGTATGCACACGTGCCTTACAAATCAACTCTGAGCAGGACATGGTTTAGTCTATTTTTTTTTCCCTTTCCAATTGAAATAAAAAAAACTTGGTTTAGGTTTTCTTTTCTCCCCCTCATCATCTTATTTTCAGTTAGTAGCCATCTACCCTGAGAGAGGGGATTAAGCTCTTAAAGATTTAAAGTTCACATCTGAAATAAAGCCCATCTCTCTCTGACCGAATGAAAATTCAGGGTAATTACTATTTAAGATTTAGTCTCTTGTCATTCTGATGACTTGTCAGAGAGAAGAAATGTTCTTACACACAAACATATCAGCAACTAAATTAACTTGTGTTTTAGCAGACTAACTAGTTAGATGAACTTTGTTACTTTCATTCAGTAAAATATTGTAAGGACTGACACAGTAAACATTACTTTAAGGTTTACATTTTTGATCCTACAGTAACGTTTCTGATCTGATTGTCATTCTGTCAGCATTTATTTTTGTGTTTCCTGTTTTTGTTAGAAAAACAGATGGCAATGTCATTGAAATTAAAAGTTCATTAAGTTAGTTCACATACATTGTAGGTATAAATAGTGCTTTACAAAAGATTGAAATAGAATAATTTACCTGCTTTGAAAAATTTGACTGTTTGCTTTGGAGAAGTTTGAGAACTGGTGTAATATTTTAGCTATGAGGAGCTTCATTAAAATAACACCTTCATAGCTTTTTTTTTTTGTGAAGGAGGCAGTTTTAAGTGGAAAGCAATGAAGAAACTAGGAAGGGATTGTTCTGAATGTCAGGCATGCTGGAAAGAAGGTCTGCTTCAGAAGATGGAATTTGTCATTGAATTGATAACATCTTTAAGCAACACACATTTTAAAATATATATATTTAATATATTTAAAATATATTATAAAATATATATATATAAAAATACAGCAGCCATCCCTGATTTAAAAAACAAACTAAGCTGTTAAATCTGTTGGGAACAAAAAGTTATTTTAACAACCTTGTACAAAGTACTTTGCTGACAGGGAACAAATGCTTTTTAGTTTTGAGATATACAGGAACTGCAGTTTGGAAAAAGATGCTTGGGCTGGAAGTAAAAAGAATAAGTAGAAAGAAATGACAGCAAGTGTATAGGAGATAAAAGTTACCAGTCAGCAAGAGATGAGAGGAAAGGCCAGCTTGAGACACTTGAGAAAAGTAAAGGCTGGAAGAATAAGACTGAAGTAGAAAGGATGATGGGCATACCAAAAATACTTTAAAACTACTAAGATAAGAACTTTTTTAGCATTCATCCTGATGCCAGAGTTTCATTCTATTTTAATCTGCTGCCTTCTTTAGCTAATGGAAGTCTGTTGTCCCTTCAGGATCTGGGGGACAGATTCACTTTCACTTGGGTTGGTTTCCCCATCGCTTACCTCAATTACAAAACCTACAGCATTTACACACACATTTCATTGACATTTAGCAGAAGAGTCCTGATCCAGCAGACAGTGTTATTCAGAGGGAAAAACAAATATTTTACTCTCACAGGTTATTTCACAGCACATTTGGGTCTTTAATCTGGTGTTAGAATAGCTAAAGGAGTGTTTCCTCCATATTTCTGCATAATTGAGAACAAACCTTAATGTTGATATAATTTGCAGCAGCATCTTTTTGTGCATAACTTTTCATGTTCTGATTTTTGTCCACATGGTTTAAACCCTGTCTTGCTGGAAGAATGTAGAAACTTCACTAATACAATCGTCACGTAAGACATCTAAACAAGAATCTGGAAGTTTTAGGATGATCCTAAGCCATTAAATGTATCTTTGTACACATGCACACAGTTCTATTGTCTGGAATTTGAGATTTGTCTCAAAGTAAAGGCTGCTTTCCATAGGATTAAATGTCACCTAGCATCTTTATCTGATCTGTTCTTGTTGCTATCTTCAGTGGAGCTATTTCTGTTTTTCAAGTGGCGTTCAAAAAGTTATTTTAAACCCCAGTGCATATCCAGTTCATGTTATCAGCAGTCCAGAAATTACTTCTATAAGAGGGAGTACTTTCTAATATTCAGAAATAGCTTGGCATAACTCCAGCGTTATGCTCTGCTATAATCCTTCAAATAGTGTTTTAAATGGTGTGCATTTTCTTGTATCAGTGTAGCATCTCTTTCCACAGAAGTTCGCTTCATGAGGGAGTATTATAATGTCTATTATCCTTCCAGCCTTAATGATATTTTTGATGGATGGATAAAGCACTGCTACTCATCTTATTATAGTGAAAACGTTCAAATTGCTCTTCAGAGTTTATCACTTTATGATACTAGAATTTGAGTTGTCTCCTATTGCAACATGCCATGCCTAATGGATTGGCAACAATACTATTTCTTTGGTTTCCTTGATTCTCTATCCTTGAACTTGTTTTATGCAGCTCCTGTGCAGAGCTTCACCTTTCCTTGTTTTCTTCCAGAAAACAAGAGTTGCTACTCCTCTAGTTGTGGTTCTTCCCTATTAATACTGTTTTACAGCTGAGGAGAAAAGCCAAAAAACAAAAATAAGTCTCAATTTCTTTGTAAGCTAATAAAAAGCAAGTCAAAGATTAAATTGGTTTCTTTGGTTGGTTTTTTTTTTTTTTTTTTGTAAGCAACAACCTCCTCTGAGCTCAATAATCCAACTGCTTAAGTCATGAAATAATAGCCTCTTACATTTCTGACACAAAATCATCAAAATAATTTACTTGAAATAAAAATTAAATACGAGTTGCACTGCCAGAACAATAACAGTGCTGTCAGCCCTCCATTTTTAGAGACCATTCATCAAGTGCTAGCAATGCAGTGTGCATTGCTGCAGAAAGTTTCTTTCCTGGAGCAGGTGTCAGGCAACCCTAATGTACAATAGGATGCTTATTCTCCTTTTGTAGAAGGGGATTATTTATGCTCTGGCTTTTATACACTGTAATATTTTTGCTGCATTATTTGCAGTAACACAGTCATTCAGTAATCATATTATTATATTGGTTTAATCTTTAAAGCCTCGAAAAACAAAACAACACAGAAAACCCCACCCAAACAACCAACCAAAACCAAGCAGTAATGCAGGCATTAGAAGCAAGGTATGGTAGAATTCTTTATGTCAGGAATGCTTTCCTAAAGTAGAATTTGGATTTCTACATTGTAGAATAGAGCAAGATAAACACACATTCCACAGCAGGTGTTTGTGGAGGCTTTCTTTGGGAAGAAAACATTGGTTTGTGGCATAGATAGGAGTATGTTACAAAGCTTTAGGGGAATGTAATGGCTTAATACCTGTTGATTTGTAGAGATCTTTAAGAGCATAAGGAGAAAAAGGTTTGACATCTTTGTGAAAAGTATATTTGAATAAAAGAGTATCCACTGAGCAATGCAGGAAGAGGAGATTTGCAGGTGTGCTTGTAGGTAAAAGGAAGAGCAGCCTAAAAGGAAGCAGCTGCTATCCTGAATTCAAACCAACTGGATTGTGGATAACTTGTAGGCCTTGAAGATTTGAAGTCCTCTTGGAAAAAAAAAAAGTAAAATATAGCAAATACCTGGAAGAAAGCAGTCCAAAATTTCTTACCTCAAAGAAGTTTGTGTAACAGAAAGTATTCTTCCTGTGCCAGCAAAGTTAAGGACTGTAACATTCAGAAGAATAACTCGCAGATTTAGACTAAATTAATTAAATTCAGCAGTGCTTGTGATGTGGAACTGATTCTTTAATGGGAGTGATTTGGCTTGCTTGAATCTAATGGCCTGTCTGATCAGAAGTCATTAGGATGACAGAACTTAGAGCAGCAGATACAGTGGGAGAGCTCTGTGAGAAAATGAGTAATAAATCTGCCAGAAGTATGATTGCAAACATGCAATTTTTTTCAGGTTAAATTTATGGGAACTGATGAAGGTTTCATTCTGTTGTAACAAATGATTATTTTCAAATAAGTGCAGAATAGTCTTTTAATTATCTGCCACTACAGATCACTGAACAGTTCATGCTCTGAAGTCTCACTGAAAATTTGTTAAGAAAACATTTGAGATTTGCCTTCCCCAGTTTAGTGACCTTTACCATTTTCAAGTCAGCATCAAATAAAGGCACTTAGTTCCTTAGGAATTCCCACTGCACATCTGCTTTTATCCTTTTAACCTCTAAATTGTATCCTTCTTATATAAGTTTAATAGCTGTTCAACCAAGCCTATTTTGCCTTTAGTAGTACAGCACACCATTTTTCACTGTAGTATTTGAAGAAGCACAAATTAATCCAAGATGGAACTTAAGATAAATGTCATTTAAGAACCTCATTAAGTCCTTGAGGACTCTGCACAGTTGTATATTAAAGTTTAAGCATCAACAGAACTGGATTTAAGTTGGATAATTTTTCATCCCTGACGCTCACAGCATCTCCCCATCTTCTCCTCTTTTATGACATTACTTGTATTGTATGATAAAAATATGGAATTCACTATAGACATCAGTAGCTAGGGGAAGGTAGGAAACTACAAATATTTGAATGTAAGCAATGAAAGAATCTATAAATGCTAAATATTTGCTTTGATATGACTGGAAAAGAGAAAGCATTTGTTGCTGTTAAAATATTTTTTAATTAAGTAAAATTAACTAAAAAGGATATCAACCATAAGGATATTCCCCCTTCCCCATTTAATTTAGCCTCTCTACTCAACCTAACACATAAGATAAAAGATTATAACTTTTTCCTTGGATAAAGTAGTAGAATAATTCCAGTTACCTGTGGTTATAAAAAGCTTGCAACATCCAGAAACACAGGTGATTTTTCAATGCATAGTAGGGTACAACACATGGTATGTACAGTAGTAACAGCAGAGCAGCAACATCCCAGGCTGTAACAAGTCAGGATCCTCTCAAATGGAACAGCAGCAGGCACAGGAATAAAAGAAAGAAGCTGCTTACCTTCAGAAAGCCTTAGGGGCAAAGTAATCTGCAGCAAGATAACATTGCTTCCCTGGCCAACCTTTAAATGAGGTCTAGGACACCGTGGATCCTGGCTACACCCCTTCCAATCATTCAGGGGCATTGCTTGCACCTGAGCTCCCCTGGGTTGGCTCTGCCTTCCTACCAGGTGCTCAATCACTGGTTCAAGCCGTCACTTAGTATTTCCACTACATAGGGTTAACATCTAAAGATTTCAATTAGATCAGCAGTTTGGGTTTAAAGTTATTAAAGTTTAAAATTATTGTACTGCAGTTTTCTACAACTACATGGTTGTGACTGTTGTTATCTTCCTGGCTTCAGTAACAAAAGATCTTCAGTATCTCATTCTTTTATGATGGCTGTGAGCAGCAGATTCTAGAAATGGAATGTTCTGAAATTTAATCAAATGTCATGGTTCAGATACTATCATTTATTTTACTTGCATCTCTGAATTTTAAAATAAAAATAACCCAGAACCCAAATCATCCCAGATTTGACAAGTTACTTTGACTGTAACAACATGACGTTTATGGCTAAGTATTCTTGAAGCAGAAAATGAAACAAAATAAGTTGTTGATGTCATGTACGTTGCTCATTTAATTTCCGAGAGATTATGCTAGAAAACATTATTTAAAGCACTGAAAAAGGATCCAGAGTTGTTTGTTGGAGTGTTTGAGGATTTTTCCTCCTAGGAAGTACTGAAAAATGACTTTACTAAAGCAAAGTTCTTCGTTCTTTTTCTGTTAAGTAGGTGGGGGGGGTGTAAAATTTGGGACTGCTGATGAAATTACTTACATGGAGTGGAAGTATATTTATTTTTTGCCATGCAGAGAAAAACTGATGAGTTCTGAACTGTAGATTTTCTGTCTGAGTTTCATTGAAGTGAGAAAATAAACAAGCAATTCAGTTGTGTGCTTTTTGATCAATTTATGGCTGATGTTGTCTATTCCACATATACAAGCTGAATTATATTACTTTGTGCTTATCCAGCACCTTCATAGAATCAGAGAGTCATAGAATGGCCCTGATTGGAAGGGACCCAAGGATCATCAAGTTCCAAACCCCTGGCACAGACCCTCCAGATCTAATACTAGACCAGGCTGCCCGGGTCCAACCTGGCCTTGAACACCTCCAGGGACAGGGCATTCACAGCCTCTCCTGGGCAGCTGTTCCAGCACTTCACCACTCTCAGTAACATCCAACCTAAATCTTCCCTCCTTCAACTTAAAACCATTTCCCCTTGTCCTGCAGTTATCTATCCTTTCAAAGAATTGATTCCCCTCCTGTTCATAGCTTCCCTTTAGGTACTGAAAGGCTGCAATGAGGTCACCCCGCAGCCTTCTTTTCTCCAGGCTGAACGAGCCCAGCTGTCTCAAGCCTGTCTTCTTAGGGGAGGTGCTCCAGTCCCCTGATCATCTTCATGGCTCTCCTCTGGACCCTCTCCAACAGCTCCCTGTCTTTCTTGTACTGGAGGCTCCTGACCTGGACACAGTATTCCAGATGGGGCCTCACAAGGGTGGAGTAGAAGGGAACAATCACCTCCCTGTCCTTGCTGGCCACCCCTCTTCTGATGGAGCCCAGGATATGTTTGCTTCCAAACTGCAAGAGCACACTGCTGGCTCATGTTCAGTTTTTCTTCCACCAAGACCCCCAGGTCCTTTTCCACAGGGCTACTCAAGGTGCACTTTTCCCAGTCTATATACTTATCTGGGGTTACTCTGACCCAAGTGCAAAACCTTGCACTTTGCTATGCTGAACCTCATTAGTTTGTCGAGGTCCCTCTGGATGGCACCACTTCCTTCTGATGTATCAACTGCACTGCTCAGCTTGGCATCATCAGCAAACTTGCTGAAGGTGCACTCGAACCCATCATCGATGTCAGTGATGAAAATATTGAAGAGAGCCTTCATGCTAGGATTTCAAGTGCAGTATCTCTATACTACTGATTATCTCTATTAAACAAATATAGATTTTTTGTTATGAACAGTAAGAGGGGTAAAAATTGAAGATTAAATTGACTTAATCCACTGTTTATTTCTTTTTTAAAGCAAGGAGTAGGGGCCTGGTATGTGATAGGCATTTTTTTTCATGGTTTCCGGCGCTGCCAGCTCTATGTGAAACACAGGGTACTGTTTTGATTTTAGGAGCCTGTACCATTCCTTTATTTTTTGAAGTTCCGTGTTATATTTATGATTCCTAGTTTACAGAAGAAAAGTATTAATTTTCTGTAAACACCACAGTTGTGTAAAGGAATCAGAAGTCAAAGAGGTGTGGTGAATACTTGAGAAAACACTGTATCAGTTGTACTGCTACAGCTTACCCATGATTATTTTCAAAGCATTTTCTGCAGAGTTTAAGAAATTAAGAGCTATTTATGACATATTATGCTTTTTACTTGTTCAACCCTCTTCATTCTGAAATGCACTTAGTTACGTTGGAGCACTGCTTCATTTTTACTTTTTTTTTGTTGAAATACAAATATATCTAAATGTAATAATTCACTTTTCCTTTCAGATGGTCTTGTTATTATTGGTGTTCATTCAGCGAAGTTTCCGAACGAAAAAGTTCTGGATAGCATTAAGAGTGCAGTTTTGAGGTACGATATTGTCCACCCTGTAGTGAACGATGCAGATGCAACACTGTGGCATGAACTAGAAGTGTCCTGCTGGCCAACTCTAGTCATTCTTGGGCCTCGTGGAAACATGCTGTTTTCGCTTGTTGGAGAAGGGCACAAAGAGAAGTTGTTTTTATTTACTTCAATAACACTGAAATTCTACAAGGAGAGAGGACAAATTAAAGATAACAATATTGGAATAAAGCTATACAAGGACTCCCTCCCGCCTTCTCCCCTGCTGTTTCCCGGCAAAGTGACAGTAGATAAATCAGGAGAAAGGCTGGTGATAGCAGACACTGGACATCACAGGATTTTGGTCACTCTGAAAAATGGGCAAATTCTACACACTGTTGGAGGTAAGGTTTTGTAAATTTTGTTGCAGACTTTTTCGTTTAGGGGGGACTGTGTTCTGTGGTGCTGCTTTGAGCTAGTAATTCAGAAGCACTGGGAGAATGTTTTTTCTCAAAAATCACTTTTACTGGACATGGGAGGGAAAAAGCATAGTACTATCAATGAGAAGCTCTTAGGCAAATGGTTGAGTTACCTCTAATTTTTTTCTTTGTTTAACTGAGTTCTGTATTTTTAAGTGACAGCCTATATGAATTACAAAAGTACAGTTTTTCTTTCTTCTGAAAGATCTTCAAATGCATTTAGATTTAAGTGATGTATATCCACATCTAGCAGCAAGATAGGGAAAAAAAGATACGAATGCTTCCCTTTCCAAGAGGAAAAAGAGAACATTGGATTGTGGTGGTGTGTGTTTCGGGGGTGCTTTTTGTTTGTTTGTTTTTGACTGAAGAGCACCTCTCAGTAGGATCATCAAACTCCCTATACCAGTGGCACAGACAGTGCACTGACTCATTATCCAAGTGAACCTTGCTCAAAGCATCAGTCTCAGTGCTCTTCTCCCACAAGAAATAGGGTTTATTATGACAAGAATCAGACAGTTTGGTTTCTGTTTTGTATATGAGCTGAAGTCTCTGCTGACAAAACACTCATCAGTGTTCTGGGATGTTCAGTAAAGAGCAGCTTGGAGGGATGTGTCCTAATCTCTGAATTGGTGCCTTTGGTCCTAGTCATAAAGGAACGACTGGAACCCAACACACTGGTACCTCAGTATTTCATGTCTGCTCAGGTCTGAATTGTATGCTGACAGTAAGTCATAAAAGTTTGTGTATTTTAGTGACTCAGTTAAATGATTCTGTGGGCAGAAAATAGTGTAATTGAGTTGATAATACAGTAATAAATGTGGGCATGCACAGAGGTTGAAATTGCTGTATTTGCATCATAAATCATGTTGCGCACGCACTCATGAATTTAAATGTCTTCTGCTGACACACAGTGCTGATGCACTTTAAATGTTACTCCATCTGAAATACCATGCTTACACTGATACTGCTTATCAAGGTCGCATTCCTCTCTGTTTCTTCGCTGTGCTATGCAGAAGGCTGTCACTCCATCATGCTCACTGTTCTCCCATGTAATTTGTTGCGTGTCATCTTTTTGCTAAGTTTTTATTAGTAATGAGAAAGTGCTGCTAATCAAACCCATTGTATTTACAGTAAAATCGAAACCACTGAAATGGAATTGAGGTTGGGATGTAAAATCTTTGCTGCTGACTTGCTCTGATGTAATTAGGAATACATTTTAAAAAAGAGTTTCTGATTGCTGTCTTCTGCAGTTACTTTTGCCTCTCAGGAAAATGGAACTGGAGCAACGTAGACCCCTACTAAGACTTTTCTGTGAAAGATAATCTTAAAGATGCAGAGAACTCATGAAGAACGAGTTCAAAACTTAGTGTGGGGCTACAGCCATTACACATCACAGTGACTAAAATGAGGCTCCGCAGAATGTACGTGATGTAACTCAGCAGGGCACTATGGGAGCATCTTTTAGAACATGTGATTATCTTACAGGTTTAAATAGACCGGCTATTTTTGAGTTTCTTTTTCTAAAATGAATCTTGAGTTTGCTTTGGTTCATTTATAGGTCCAAATAGTGGAAGAAAAGATGGAAGATTTTCAGAGGCAGCTTTCAACTCACCACAAGGCGTTGCTATAAAAAATAATGTTATTTACGTAGCTGATACAGAAAATCATCTAATTAGAAAGGTAATTTTTCCATAAGAAAATTTAATCTCTTGTGCCTTGCCCTACTTAGTTGAAAATGTGTATCAAGTGACTTATTCTACAGATACTCTCAACATCGAGAAAGAAATTTGGTCTAACAGCTTCCTAAAAAATGCCTTTGTATGGTGGTTTTTTAAAGGGCTGCATCTATCTTTTGTACTTCCTTGCAAATGAAGCTACGCACTACTTCTAGTGAGTCTTACCTTCCTGTTATAAGAAATAACTATTCTTAGTGCTGGAAGCAGAAGTTGTTTTTGTTTCGCTTCCAGTTGTGGCAGATTCTTATCAGAAGTTATTGTATTCTTATGGATTGGTGGATATCTAAATGTTTGGGTCTACAATCTACTTTAATCCATGTGGGGTTTTTTTTCTGTTTAACAAGTGCAAGTTCTTAGCACATAGAAACATTGCTGTTAATATTTAATTGGAATTGGATCTCAAGCCCAGTGAGGTCAAACTTAGAATAATGAGAAGTTTGCTGAAGCAATATCGTGTTACCTTGTTATTAAAAGAGAGATATCAGAAGTCACTTAGAATATAAACATAGGGGAAAAAAAAGATAAGTAGGTTTGGGCTGCAGAAATAGAAAATATTTTTTGCTTCAAGGCATGAAATGAATTGCAAAAATAATTTGCTTTGTATAGATTATTTTATCTAATGATGAGAAATAATTTACAGTATCTGAGCTCTTACAGCATATTCCCTCGGAAGTTTAAAGTAACCACATCCATCTGAAACACTTCTCCAGAAAATTTTAATGCTTTCTTCTAAAATTGCTGACCAAATCTGTGTTAAATTTTGGTGCATCTGGAAGAGAAATGCACTCAGTTGTTTTTCCTGCTGCCTTACCCTCCTACCACCAGCAGAAAGCATTATGGTAAAATTAATGATTTTTCTTCATAAGCAAATGCTTGAAATTTATTAGGATTTGAGTTTTACTTGCAAAGATACACCATTTATGACATAGATTGTCTCAGATTATCTGTATTACCTCTCTATTAACTATGCTTGCTGTTGTGTATTTAGTGTGTATAATTTTGCTTCTTACAGATTGACCTGGATTTAGAGATTGTGACCACTGTAGCAGGCATTGGGATACAAGGTGTTGATAAAGAAGGGGGAGCAAAAGGAGAAGAACAGCCTATCAGCTCTCCGTGGGATGTGGTCTTTGGAAATTCAGGTGCAATTTCAGTTGAGCTTTTAACAAAATCTCACATGCATGAGTGCTTGCTGAATGTTTTCCTGTTCTGGTAATAACCGAAAACATGAAATATTAAGACATACTTTACAATTGAGTCTAAAAACTGGTGGTTTCATCTGTATAAGTACCACTATTATTAGCTGAGTCTGTGTTTCTGATGTGAATCCTGAAAAAATGTGAGCTGTTAACCAACCTGAAGAAAAATTCTTCTGTGGAAAGTTACGTATTTACTCGGTCAAAATACAGAAGGAAATTGTGATTGCCTTTGCTAGCCCAGTGCTTTCTGCCAGGATGACTGAAGAAGCAGCTGCATTTTACAGGAAGTGGACATTGTCTGAAGTTCCTTTCCTTGGCTGTATGGACATCTCACCATTTGTAAATATTTGAGTTTAGGAAATAAATTTTATCTGATGACTTCTGCTTATTCCTGTTTAGACAACATGAGATTGTTAGCCTAATAGATCATGGTAGATTCAAACAGATAGAGGAAGAACACCTCAGAAAACACCTTCCAAGCCTCAGGGGATAATAATGAAGTCTTCGCAAGATAGTATGTAAAAAATATCTCCTGAGGATTTAAGTGGTTTTCTTTCCTGATCAACTTAACACAGTCCTGAGCCTGACATCACATAACTGCCATGATTTTAAATGTTACTAACTGGGAGTTAGTATCTTCCTTTCTTACGTTTCCATTTCAGTATGGTTTAGAGCTTGCAAGTGCAAGTTCCTTAATGACAGAAAAATGATTGTCTGTGGCACAAAACCCTTTGCATCAGGGAGAAAAAATTAGTTTAAGAGAACATGTAGCTAGTTCATGAATGCTGATTGTATGCTAGTCTTAGGATACAAATACATTGTTATTATATACAGTGTACAGCCAGCAGCCTTGACTACTAAAGTAAGCCATAGGCATCAATGTTACGTTTAACGCTGTCAGTGACCCTTACAGATTGAGAGTCCTACAGAGTCTTATTCAGGGAAAGCTGAAAGAGGATCTCACCAGATTTGGATTGCTGTTTATGATTTTTTCCCAATCTGATTTCACTCTTGTGATCCAGTAGACTGTTGTGTCTGAGTGCTACAGTTCTCATTTTATTGAACCACACTGAACCAGCAACCCAGTTGCCGTGGGATGTTGTTGCAGAGCCATTTACAGATCAGTAATGTAGAATTCCAACTCAGAAAGTACTGCCCCAGTGGATCAGAAACTTAATCCTCTTAACAGAACTATTCAAAATATACATTAATTATACTTTGCCATTTTCATAGTGCTTTTTTTCCTGCATCAACCGGTAGCTGAGTATCTGTTGATACTTTTATTTTTGAGAGCTCTGATGGTTAAGTAAAATGTTAAATGATATGATTGATATCAACATGAACACAGTAATCACTGAATTAGTCACCTGTAAAGAATTAGTCATCTGCACTGTTTAACATTGCTGAATTTTTATCAGTGTTTATATAAAAATCAGATTTTTTAAATGCACTGTTTTCAGAGCAGTGTAGAACTTTTTTGTATTCAGTCACATCCTACCAACCAGTTGGCTGCTTAGATCTCTAAAAAATATTATAAAACTTTGAATTTAAGAGGAGATTAAATCAATTTAATGTCCTCTTCTTTGAGAGAAGAATAGGATAGATAGGTAAAATGAGGGGGTTGCTTTTAGGATTTTTTAAGAGTTTTGATATGGTTTAGTGTGAGAAAAGCAAGGTAGGAAAAATGTAAATGATTGTAATATCTATGTGAATCTCTTCAGTAAACTGTAACTAGAGGGAGTTGTGGAAACATGAGGTTATGCTGAGTAGTACTTTAACAGCAATGTGTCCCATAGCCCAGTGTCATCAAAGTACAAAAGGCAGACAGTATGTTGATGGAAGCACAGTTTGAAAATGACTTTGATACAGCAAATCTGCTTGGAATGCTTTGTTAATATTTAGTAGGGGGCAATAGCACATACTGCCACATATTGTACATATGAAGAGAACAGTTGAATTACAGATGACCACAGTGTGAGAGCAATCTTGTTTTCTAAATGTTCCGCTGGGCAGGACAAAATTTGGCATAGAAAGGTTGGTAAAGTTGGTAAAACTTCCTACCTAACAAGACTGCGGAGTCTTTTTGGATGTATTGGAAAATGGGTTGATGGTTGGTCATGAGCTGTAGATGTGAGGTGGTACATAGCATCTCCTTGAAGAAGGGTAATGAACTAGATCACTTCCTGAAGCCTCTTTAAGTCAGTGTTACAGTGTGGAGGATTTGCTCTCTGTTCTCCTTGGAGTATGTGGTTGGCATTTATGATAACAGCGCTCAGAAAATGGCGTAAAACAAAACTGAAGACTCCCTTTCACCATCCCAGGCTGCAGTACTCCAGCCATGCTAACCTGCTTCAGCTTCCTCCTGCATTCCTTGGCTGAGCCTGTCCTGCAGATAGTTGCCTCAGTTCCTTCCCCTGCTGCTCCTGAAAGTCTCCTAAAACAGCCTTACATGTCAGAGCAGCAGCCTCAGGCTGGTCTTTTCAATGCAGCTTTCTTGAAGGGTGTTTCTGATACCTCGTGTCATGGTGTCACATTCATTTCATTAGGTTTGTTAAAAGACCTTCAAAACATGTAGCTGGGGTTGAACTCTGTGCAGCAGTCTCTATGTTTTAGATTTTAGGGGGTCTTTCTAGGGGGCTTAGCTTACTGGACTAAAATGAAATCTGTCAAAATGTAGACAGCACTGATGAGTGGTTGGTACAAGTGCTTACTTATTCTTGGTGCGTGTGCAGTATTTTTGGGAGCACCATAGAAATTGGAATGTTTTCAAGGGACCAAAATTGCAATTAAGTCACCGTTTTCAAGGAAAGTTGAAGAATCAGAGGAGTTTTGAACAAGTGAATGAGTGATGCTCACTGTAGTGCTGTCTTAAGATGAAGCACAAAAACAACCAGATTGTGCGCAAGGAGCCAGGACTGTGTTGTAGTTTGCACCACATATGCATTATGGCATGGATACAGTCATGAGCTGCAGTGAGTTTTTTTTTCTTTTGTTTTGTTTTCCTTAGGTTTGTTAACACTAAAAAACTCATTAGGTAGGGTTTGTCTTAATGCAAGTCGCTGGAACCTAGTAGGACATTCTCATAAGGTCCATTAGAATGCATATGTTATGTGGTAAACCCATATGAAGCTAATTCTATTGGAAGCCTCTACCACACAGAGAACTGTCTGTGAGCAGAAAGCCAGACTTCTGTTGGTGACTCTCACTGTGCTGTCTACAAGTTATCAAAACTATTTTGTCCGTATCTCTTAATGCATTTGGATGAATAAAGTTTCCCAAATGACTTTTGTTTGCATCTGGAGAGTAGTGCCCATTCCTGTAATGTAACTGCAAGCTGTGGGAGTCTATGCGTGTTTGAAAAACTTATGGTTCATTATTCCAAATTTTATAATTTATAATTCTGACTTTTGCCAGAACTGGAATGGCATATGGGAAATAGATTCATGCCTCTCTGTTTTCCATAGATCTATGTAATTTAAACTGTACAAGAAACATTTTTTTTCAGAATGTAGATTTATGGATATTACAGTTTTTAAACAAGTGATGGCCCAGAGCCATGCTAATCAAAACATGAGAGGAGTTAAGAAAAGAAAAGATGCAAGTGGTATTAAACAGCTTCTGCTGACCTTTCTCAGAGTGTCAGAGGGAAAGGTTACGTCTTGAGAGATGAATTTTTTGCCTCTATCAATCAGATCTCATCCAAGATTAATCCTCCTACATAAAGTTTAAAGTAAGTATTGATCAATTTAAAGACTGCATTGTTTGCTTCGTAAGTTTTTAATGTATTGTTTGTTGTGAGCTTAAATTCAGATCCTGGTCTAAATAAAAGGTGCCGTGCACAGAACTAAGAAAAGCCCTCAGTTAATCCTCCAACTCTGTGTTCAGAAGTCATTATCGCTTTGAGACAGTAGGCATAAAGGTGTGAAGTAAATACAAAGCTTAGTTGTAACATTTCAGTTGTCTCGTGGATCCCAGATGACATTTAGCCTGATTCAAAGCCCACTGAAGTCCTCAAATCTGTTGCTGACATCTGTTGTGGCGATACAGGAAATGGTTTCAGTGAATGACATTTTTTTGTGTTAATTCGCTTCTGAGAATACTTAAAAGAGTCAGACTTCTTAATTCCATATGCAGTTCAGTTCTGTGGTTTCTGATCATTTTTGAAAACCTGTATTCATAAGGATAAAGTTCTCATTTAATCAGATGAGCAAAACCAAAGACCTGAAAGGGTATAATGTCGTCCTTATGAAAACCAGATGTATCCCCGCTGGTAGACAGTTCTGTGTGATTAGAATTTGCTTTCTGTATATTTTGAAGATAAAAATGTTGAGAGGAAAAGTTAATGAAGGCATAGATAAGTTCATCTTCAGAGCAGATGCTACTATTATACTTTGAACCATCCTGACAGTACTTGTATGAGATAACAAGCTTCTGTTTTATACAGATGCTGAAACTTGAGGCAAAGAGGTTAAGTGACTGAAATACCTCTTAATAGGAAGGTGATAGAAATGTCTTTCTAAGGTAGGGGGGTTAAGACAAACATTGTGCTGGAATTCAGATAAACACTATTCTTCCTTGCCATCTTTAATTGAGGGTAAGCTTCAGTTTTGCCCTCCCCTTTTGAAAGTCTTGAATGAACTCCATGGATTAAATTCTGTTGTTGAAAGTGGTTCTGGAATTTGAATCGACTCAGATTATGCAAGAAGCAGACAATACAGGGGAAGGGCCAGCAGCTTAAAAATACATTATTAAATGACTGTGTGCTTTTTTAGCTTTCTCTGTTGTCCTCTTCTATTTTTATTCAGTGGGTGTTGAAAGCAAGTGATGCTTAAATGCACAGTTGATCTGAGTGTGAAATGTTCTTGATAGCTGCATTCTTGCTGGGAGGTAAAGGACAATGACCTGTGCTTGGTGACATAACTGTGTGTTTCACATTCCAAAAT